CTCAGTGCTCCCACCATCTTGTGAACCAACGTTCACCGGTGTAGCTTGGGAATTAGCAACATTGTTTCCGTTTCCTCCATTGTTGTCCACAATAACATTTTCCTCCCCATTGATTGGCAGTACGGGATGCTCCATTTTCTTCAAGGAAATTAGGAGAAGACCACCAACGGGAAAACAAATATATTAAGGTTTTAAGACTGTTGGAAATTCCGTTGGTAAAAACAAATAATAATCCTATAAAATAAGATTATTATTTTCTATGGGAAGAAGGGAATGAAAGATGGAGAATTGGCTAGTGTTTGGTGTAGGGTTTTTAGCAAGAGTCAAACGATCACTCTTTCCTTAAAACATTATTTGCCACCTCCCAAAAGTGCTAGGAGCGGTGTGGCCTAAGCTTCCCAGGATAGAACTTGCTACGATTCAATGTTTAAGCACCCAAACAAGGAATCCGGCGATCTAGAGCAAGATTATGAACACAGTAAGCTAAAGAAAGAGTAGAAGCAGAGAGTTTTGGGGCTGAAAAATAAAACTTTCTTGTTGTGTGTAAAATTCTACTGCTCAACTCTTTCTTATATAGGGGTTGAGGAGTTGAATAACTTTTAATTTAGGCATTTAAGGGCACCCCTACAACTCCTGTAATAGTAATCATTAACATGGATTTTAATTCAAAATTTGAAATTGGAATCCCGTAACAGCTGAATTAAATCACAATAGTCACAAACAGGAGCTTCAGTTCAGCCATGGCAAGGCCGAACTTTCGGCCATCAGGCCGAAACATCAACTTTCGGCCATTAGGCCGAAACATCACTTTCGGCCATGCATTTCTTTCGGCCTAAGGTCAAACCATTTCACCAAAAAAACAAGAAATAATATAATATATACCCCCACGAAAACAATTGTTTCGGCTAGTTTCATTTCGTAATGCATTTCTTTCGACCTAAGGTGAAACCATTTCACCAACAAAACAAGAAACAATATAATATAATACCCCCACGAAAACTAATGTTTCGGCTAGTTTCATTTCGTGATGCATTTCTTTCGGCCTAAGGTGAAACCATTTCACCAACAAAACAAGAAACAATATAATATAATACCCCCATGAAAACTATTGTTTCGACTAGTTTCATTTCGTGTGGCTGAATTGGAAAATGATACCGGCTAGTTTCATTTCGTGTGGCTAATTGGAAAATGATACCGAGGTTTGGCGCACACGAGATTAGGTTTGAGCCAAGCCTTTTCGTTTTTCATTTTGGGATTTGTCTCACTACGAAGAACGTGAATCCACTTTGACCCAACCCAAATCGGAAGTGGACCCCACTGATAATTGTACCACAAAATAGCCACTTAACATGCTATTTTAAGCTATTTTTTCCAACTGTTCTTCTCCTCAATTCATACACAGATGTATAGCAATTTATCCCCTTCAATTTATACACTCTCCCCCTCAATTCGTACACATTCTCCCCCTCAATTCATATCATATTTCTCCCCCTTTTGATAAACATTAGTCAAAGGTAACATAACCATAGGAGCATGTATTGAACAATGCAAGAAACTTCAATTAAGAGCATGCTATTGATATGATGTAGAAAGAATCTGAAATTGGAGAGGTTCATAACTGGAATATATGAGAGGTTTATCAACACTAGAAAGCTTTCACACCGGACTCTTCTCAGGTCCTTGTGGATCCATATTAAGTACCAGGTAGCCATCTTGCAGTTAACCAGTTTAAGGAGCACTTAACGCTAGATAGCTTTCACTCCGGGTTGTTCTAGGATTATTTAGAGCCGTAGCAGCCACCGGGTAGCCCTCTTCTAGGTAAGTATTTTTAGACATGCTAATGAAGCGCGTTACACTAGACAGCTTTTACTCCGGGTTGTTCTAGGGTTCTTTTTGAACTGTAGCAGACACCGGGTAGCCCTCTTCTAGGTAAACAAGACACATATGTACTGGTTCAATAGTGTCATAGAAAGCTCAAGTGAAATATGTGTAGTCGGAGTAGAGAAACAAGAATAGTGAATTTTTATTAATAGTGGAAAGTAGAGTGAGAAAATGGGTAACAAGCATTTTAATCTGGTTTAAAGTGGGGCTAACAAGATAGACTATCCACAAACTATCAATAATATACTCTAGAGGAAATACTTGCAAATTGAACAACACTACTATTGAAAGTTTAACATTACCAGTGACCTCAATAGAACTGGTTCGATGAAGAGCTCGCGGATCCAGAAAAAGTGTTATCATTACACACAGTGTTGTGCCCATCACTATTTTCAATACCAAAATCCTTCAGTTTTAACATAAGACTTCGAGCGTGAACCTCCCGATCAACCAATTCCTTTCGCCGATTAGAAAGCAAACATAGCTCTTTTTCTTGGAACTTAATAGCCGATTCTGTAGTGTTTACATATGATGAGGGACCTGCATGATCATCAAATTTTGGCACATCTAGTTCATCAAAATGTGATCCCGTGAGAAGGCGGTGATCGACTATTATAAGTGCTGGCTCGGCTGCATAAAGCTCAAGCCGTCTGTTTTTAAAACCCTGCATCACTAGTCAACCATACCACATCGACGTTTTTTTTTTTTTTTTGGTAAAATAGTCAGAAATTGAATTTTGTTAGAAATAAAATCTTAAGCTAGCTATTTTTTTAACCGAAAAAAAGAGCAAAAAAAACTGGAAATGAAATTAAGCAATAGAAAAAAACTTCTCTTTTTTTAAACCGAAACAAAATCATTTCATTGTCAAGCAAGTTTGCTTGGGTCACCACACTTGTTGGGATTTGTTTTGCCTGCAACGCTAGGGGTGAGCAAACGGTCGGTCGGTTACATAACCGACCGAAAAACCGAAAAACCGATCAGAATTTTTAACCTTCCTAACCGACCAAAGTATATGGTCTAGCCGACCGAAAAACCGATCGTCAGTTTCGGTCGGTTACCGAATAACCGAAAGATTAACAATGCTCCAAAAATGGCGAAGACGAATATACAGATACAAATACATGAACATACAGATACAAAGACAAATACAAATACATCTTCAAATACATATACAAATACAAAAATCGATCGAAAGATTACTTGTCTCCATGATTTATCGGTCCATTCATAGATGAAGATGAAGATACAGATACAAATAGAAATACATGGGGATGGTGAAGGCGGTGAAAAATCGGAGTATAGCCAAGAGCGCGAAGACAGAGAGCGTGAGGGGCAGAGGGCAGTCCGGGTGGAGGGCGAGAGACGCAGCGGAGGAAGGCGGTGAGACTTGAGAGACCAGAGACGATGGATCGGAGAATCGTTGTGCGTCATCTGTGGGCTGTGGCTGCGGGATAGTTAAATGGAGAAGCAGATCCGCAGAAGGGAATTAAGGGTTTTAGTTTTCATTCCCACCAAACCTTAATCGTAGCGTGCTGACTTTGAGGTTCTCCATTGTGTTTAGGGAATTAGGGGATTGGTATTTTCTATTAATTGGGCTAATAAATTATTATATATTTGGCTGGAGATGGGCTATTAGACTGAAAGTCTGAAACTCAAACACTATATATATATATATATATATATATATATAAGTCGGTTATCGGTCACCGACACATTAAAACCGTAAAATAACCGAAATACCGAAAAACCAAATTTTTTTTATAGCAATAACCGAAACCGACCGATAACTGATTTTTTCGGTCGATTCGGTTATCGGTTAGCGGTTAACCGATATTTTGCTCACCCCTATGCAACACCTCCAACCATGTCCTTTCGTGTGACACCTGAAACAAATTTTGTTAAAAAAAATTGTTCACGTGCTTTTTCACTTCTGTGTTTTTCCTTGACTCTTTTTCTGGCACCCATGCGTTTGTCTGATTTCCTAGCCCGCTTGTGAAGCCTAGACCTGCTTTGTCATGGTTAACCTTTCCTGACTGAAGAATTTCATTAAGACTACTAGTGCCTGTGTTCAACATTCTCACATGTTTTTTGAAGTTTTCTAATTCATTTCGTAAGTATTGTTCATTTGAGAGTTTAACAAGCAATTCAGTCTTAAGTTTTTCTACAGTGGTTTTTAGGATTGAATTTTCCAACTCTAAAGACTCAACATTCTTAATTAACACAAGGTTCAACTTACTTACCTTATACCAGTTCATGTACATATCTCCATATGCTTCAGCTAGGTCAATATCCTCATCGTCAGTCTATATCTCTTCATTTGCCTCATGTGTAAGGTTGATATCCTCATCGTCAGTATGCATCTCTTAAACTGCCTTATGTGTTTCTGGTGTGGTAGGTTACATCTGATTTGAGTCCCTCCTTACCTCACTATCTTCCCCATCTTCTTCTGCAATTTTGAAAAACTTCTCATAGTCCGCACGTTCTTCCACATCATCAGGGTGGCACATGTAGCCATGGAATGCAACAAAATTGCTTGTTTGTTGTTCTACATGTTCATCATTATTAGAATCTTCAAAATCACTCCATGTAAATGTGTAAGATTTCTTGTCTTTGTTGTTTCCACAGTCAGCTACAATGTGTCCATAGTCTCCACATTCATAGCATTGAACGCCCTTGAGCTTAAAATCTTGATTTGGACCTTTTTGCTTCTGAATATTTCCAGTTCCACCCCCTTTGCTATTTGTTTTCATCCTTCCGTGTCCATTGTCGTTCTTTAGCATTTCACCAAATTTCTTTGACAACATGGTCATGACCTCGTTCATTTCTATATTTGAGTCAGCTCCTGTAGGTACCGCAGCGCCGAATGCAACTCCTTTGTTGTCCTTGTTCAGGTACCTGTCTTCCTCTTCCATTTCTAACTCAAAAGTCTACAAATTTCCTATTTGAGCATCTAAAGTTAGAGTTTTTAGATCTGCTGATTGCTTGATAGCAATAGCTTGCATCTTGAACTTCAATTCGGAGGTAGTGATCTCAGAACTTTGCGAACCAGTTTCTCTTCTTCAAATGGTTCACCCAAGTTCCGTGCGGTATTTGCAAGGTTCTTTATCCTTGCACTGAACTCGGTGACTAACTCAATTTCTTCCATCCTTAGACTCTCATACTTGGTCATGAGTAATTGCAACTTTGAGACTTTGACAAATCATGTTCCTTCATAGTGAGTCATAAGTGCATCCTAGACAGCTTTTGCAATATCCGTCTAATAAGCTTAATTTCCAGACATTATTTAGAGTAATTTTAATTAGTGAGTTGCATAAATAAATTAAGTTTTAGGATCGATTTTATAATAAGTATTATATTATCTATATGTTACTAGTTTAGATGGGTTTTAATAAATATTAGGTTAATGTTGCATTTTTATTAATATAAATAGTATTTTATTATTTGGTTTAATTAAATTCTCTATTGTCATTAGGTTATAATAATGTTTTTGCTTTTAACTTAATGTTGTTTTTCTTTTTGTTTTGTTTTCTAGACTAGCGCAGCAGAGAAAGAAAAAGAAAGAGATAAGGCTTAGGTTTTTTTGGTTTTTCATTAGGGACGGTAGTACAGAAAAAAGAGCGGAGAAAATAGCGAAGGAAAAAAAAAAAAAAAAAAAAAAAAAAAAGGAAGCCTGGGAGCGCAGCAGCAGTTCGGCGAATAGATTCAAGACTCCATCACAAGGAATTTTCGAGCTTCAATCACGGCTATCTTCTTCTCAGGCTTGAATTATTTCTCTTCATCTCTATCTTTATTCTGATTTAAATTTCCAGAATACTATTTATTGAACAATTGATGCATTTAATTATGATTCTTGGCTAGAACTCTTAATTAGGGATTTGGAATAGCCTAGATTAGATTAATTGACTATTCTTCATGTGTTGATTCTTCTAATTTCAGTTTAATAATTGAATTTGATTATATTTATTTTATGTATTTTAATTGTGAATTGTGTGACTGGCCATTGCGTAATTCTAATATTAGGGTTCATAAGAAGAACTGACAGGTGAATTATGAACCTAGAACTCGTAAGATAAACACAATTGACCTAAACTAGACATAGCTTTAGGTATTTGTGGTGAGATTTGATTGTTGCTTAATGGGTTCAATTAACGTTGGTGAGATATCGACGGATGATCACAGTCAATTGGATACAATCTAGTAGCTCGACGGAGTATTAGGATATATATGGAGCAATTGTCACTAGAATCTTAAGAATCAATACATAGGAGAGTTAGTTAATTATCTAATAGGTGAACCCAAATCCCTAGTCTTCTCTTAATTGGAATTTTCTTTACTTTAGATTCATAAATATTCTTTTTAATTACGTTAATACTATTTATTTGCATTTTTCCTTATCATCAAAATTGATTATTCAAGATAATAGTTAATAGTGTTCTTCGTGGAATCGACCCTGGAATACTCCAGGAATTTATACTGTGATTGACTCTGTGCGCTTGCAGATTATAGCAATCACCGTCGCTGAAATAACCGAAATTGACCTTCGAGCTCTATTGTTCGCTAATGATTTCTTCTTCTCGTCTATTGTCCACTGGTTTAGTGGTTTTTTCTTCTCTTTGTTTTGGACCATCATCGTAGGTGGAATCCAAGCATTTTCTACGCATCGCAACATTCTTCATCCAAGAATTTGATAAAGGCTTTCCACTCATTTACACACCATTTTCATTTACACGTACACAAATCCATTTTCTTAATTTGCATACATGCACATTAACATATACCAACTAGTATATACAATACGTAATATACATATACATACATACATACATACATACATACACACACACACACACACACACATACATACATACATACATACATACATACATACATACATACATACATATATATATATATATATATATATATATATATATATATATGATTATTTTCAAATACAACCCCCTTTAAAATACAAACCCCCTTTAAAATACAAACTGTGTGCATGTAAGTATCTTAATGTGTGCACGAGCTAATCCCAGATATTGTTGGTAGTGTGCCCCGCATGTAAGTATGTTAATGTGTGCACAAGCTTTGTTGGATGGTTGTGATTTTTTCCTCCTACGCGCTGTGTGCATGTAAGTATGTTAATGTGTGCACGAGCTTTGATGGATGATTGTGATTTTTACTCCTACGCGCTGTGTGCATGTAAATATGTTAATGTGTGCACGTGCTAATCCCAGAAATTGTTAGCAATGTGCCTTGTGTGCATATAAGTATGTTAATATGTGCACGAGCTCAAGTTTATATTTTAAGGGGGGTTTGTATTTTAATGCAACCCTATATATATATATATATATATATATATATATATATATATATATATATATATATATATATATATATATATATATATATATATATATATATATATTACTATATTTTGTGCTAACAATTATTTTATTTAAAATTATATTTAAAAAAATAATTTTAAAATCGGTAACAATCACATCAACATAAATATGTAAATTGTGAACATTCAGGATGTAAATTGTGTATTTTGGACCCGAGCTCACCTTGCAATGTGGACCCTGGTCCATGGTATAACAACTTCATTATCTACTATAGTAATAAGAGCCCAAGAGAGTTAGGCCTATAATGAGTAAAAAAAATGACGATCAATTTTTTTCTAATCAAATGAATGGCTCAGATTGATCAGATTTTAATTTTTCCTTGATATTTTCTAATTTATCCTTAATTATACGATTATCCGTTAACTTTTCCGTTAAATATTATCTTCTCCATTAATTTTTTTAGTTCACCTTAAATTACCCATTGATTTCAATAAGAAAGGTCATAGGTTCGAACCCTATCCCAATTAAAGTTGGCATAATTAGTACTCTATTTTACTCTTATTATATTAAATAATAATTTAGTAGCTACAACAAAAAATAATATATATGAATTTTTTTAATTTAGAATTATGTATCTACAATGCCTTTATTAAAAATAAATTATTTATTATCAATAAATTAAATAAGAGAAATAATTTCATTAGATATATTATCTTCATTTTTCTCAAATATAAAAATTCTTTATATTCAAATTCATCAATTGATTATATTCATGACATTGTCCCTACAATTAATGTCTTTATTCAAAAAAAAAATTATTCGTTATGAATTGATTAATGATTTCCGCAAAACGCTATCAAGCTTGTCCGATGTATAACCAAACAAAAAATATAACGTATTACAGCCTACATGAAAAGAATTCAATTTGAATTTTTCTCTTCCTGTAAATATAGCGTACTACCGGAAGATAAGAATTCAAATTGAATTCTTCTCTTCCTGTAGCGTATTACTGGCGGAGATGTTGAATTCTTCTCTCCCAGTAAGGCTGAACTTATCTCTGCAAACATTTCCCACTCTTAAAAATGGGTCTCATTTTCACATTATCCAATTTGCAAATCACCTACTATTCACACTACACCCTTACAAATTCAATCAACCTTTTAAAGTGGACCCAATATATTAAAATAATATTATTAATTCATTAGAATATTAAAAAGTAAAGATATAAAATAAAATAAAAATAAAAAGTACAAAAGCTCCCGCGACAGCTTTTTCAGGAATTTGCAAATTTGCTGAAATAGCAAATTTGCAAATCCCTTTAAATTAAAAAAAAAAAAAAAGGAAAATGGTGAAGTGGCTTTGCCACATCACTTTGTAAAGGGGAGTTTGGCTGGGATGTGGTCAGCCTAATATGCTACCTAAAAAAATTATATATAGATTATTCAATTAATATATATATATATATATATATATATATATATATATATATATATATATACATATATATATATATATATATATACATATTATTTTTTAAATGTTGGCCCATGGGTTGGCCCGCAGCTCGCACGGGCCAGGTCTGCTCCTTTGCAGGCCTACTTTTTCACAAACCTAACCCGTCCCATTACGGAGCGGGTGCAGGTCAGTCCGCAAATTTTGGTCCATTTTGACAGTACTAGTTGTGAGTGGTTCTTAATACTTTTATCGATAATCTGTTCTCACACGAACATCCTCATATATATATATATATATATATATATATATATATATATATATATATATATATATAAAAGTTGAAAAATAGAAAAGCTGTTAAATGACAGCAAATAGCAAAAGCTGCAGAACTAGCAAGCTCGCATGCCACGTGATTTTTTTTTCTACCACACCCTAAAAGTCTCGAAGACTTTCAGGATTGAGGACAGTCTGAGCTCATTTTACCGGATTGAGTGTTTTGCATTTTTAGTCCCACGATTATAGTGGCATTGTCAGGATTAATCTGACTTTTAAACTTTATCATTTCTGTCTACGACTATTGTTTTTGTTGAAAAATGTCCTTCCGGTCAATTTTCATCAAAATCTCACCAGAGAAAAAAATTCATCATTTCAAGCAGGGATAAAATAAACATTTACATTGACCTTGCAATCTCGGATCGTTATTTTGACCTCTTATTCTGACCAAAGTTCGAAAAAATCAATTGTCAGAGACGAACCATAATATGCTCTCATCTCATCAATGATGTAGTCATTATGTTTTCCTTCAAAATAAAGAAGATGAAGATCGGCAATGGATGACGTATTGAAGATGGCAATCGATGTATTCCTCTTGTTCGCAGATGGGTTGATGAGATGAGAGCAGATTATGGTTCGTCTATGGCAATTGTTTTTTTTTTTTTTTTTTTTTTTTTTTTGTTCGATTTTTTCGCACTTTGGTCAAAATAAGAGGTCAACAGCAGTTCGTGATTTTAATGTCAATGTAAATATCTATTTTATCCCTGCTTGAAATGAGTAATTTTTTCTCCAGTGAGATTTTGACAAAAAATTGGCCCAAATGACCATTTTTACAACAAAAACAATAATCGTGGATTGAAATTGAAAGGTTTGAAAGTCACGGATCAATCTTGATAGTGCCACTATAGTCCTGTGGGACCAAAAGTGCAAAAAACTCTTTGGGATTTTATTTTGATTACTAAACCAATTGAATTATCTTATAATTCCATCAATTATTTATATAAGAGAAAATTGCACTTTTCATTCCTAAGTTATATAATAATTATAGAATTCGTCCCTAAGTGTCGGTCATACTCACTTTTCATCCCTAAGTTATCATTGACGTTGCCCTTTTAATTTCGTCCATTTACTAATAAAACGTTAGGGACAAAATTTGCAATTTTAGTATAACTCAGGAATAAAAAGTGAGCACGAAAGGATGAAAAGTGCAACGCCAATGACAACTTATGGATGAAAAGTACAATTAATTTTTAAATCCAGTTTTTCTTATATGTAATAGTACGTTTAATATTATTCTTAAATAGATAAAATAAGAGAATTATATTTTTTGTCCTCCAATTATATCTGTGGTACAGATCAGACTTAGTTTTTGCATTATATGTTTGACCATTTTTAACTCCTAAGTTATGCATGGAGTGGCGATTTTAGTCGTTGAAGGACCATATCAGTCAATTTATTAAGTGACAAATTGGTGGTAGAAATACATCGAGGGACTAAAATCGTTACTTCATGAATAACTTAGGGGTTAAAGATGGTTACGCATATAACTCATGAACTAAGTTTTATACCACAGGTATAACTGGAGGACCAAAAATATATTTTCCCAAACTTTTTTTTTTTTTTAATAATGACACTAAATTAAATAGTACAACAATTTGAATAGAAATAACTTTGAGTTCAACTAAATTTTATAATAACCTAATATCCTATAAATTTTATAATAACCTGATCTACCACATAAAATAAATTATTAAAATAGGATAAAATATAAAATAAATTTACAACAAACATTTTATAGAAAGGTGCACTTCATCTGTCGCTCAATTTAAATTTACCATTTCAGTGTAATTCATCATTCTCAGGAGTGCAATGAATAAGAAGCATGAATACTAACATCAAAAGTATACAGACGTGATGCCGACAATGCAATATATACAATTACTGTACATATATTGTGGGGAATCGCCGAATCTATATTCTCTGAAATGAAGAAACCATATATGCATGCGTATTAGGCAATGACTTTCCACATGTGAACCTGGTCCCTTTAATAATTGTTAGTACAACGTCGACATGTCGAGTTGGTAAGTATAAAATTCAAAAAGTTAGGCTAATCAAATTCATCAAGTTGATAATTTGGTAACCATAAATTTACAAATTCAAATCCTAGTAAAAGTAGTCTATTGAACTTTGCTTCTTTGTGGTCCTTTGCTAGCAGGGGCGGAGCCCGGATTGGATAGTGCGATGGGTCAACTACGGTTGAAGTACTAAATCAAATACATTGATATCCATTTAACATATTTCAAAATAATCATTATATTACAAATTAACTAAAGTTATTGGTTCTTTGAGAAAGTATATGAACAGATATTACATTGTAATAGAGCCAGTAGCATTAAAAAAAAAAACTAAAGTTTAGAATAAATCATTTACAATTGAATCTATATTAAATTATTTTGCAAAATGCTTTTTAATGTACATTGCTTTATACGGTTGAACGAATAAAAACATTCACGCATGTTTAAAAAGATTATTGATTATTTCTTGAAAACATAATAGCAATCTTTCTCAAATATAAATACTACAAATTTTACATTATAATGCATGTTAATTAAATTAAATACAAAATTTACCATTTTCAAAAAAAAAATACAAAATTTACCACATAATCACAAATATGCATAATTAACCAAACAAATGCACCTTGATATCAATTATTTAGAGTCAAACAAAACAACTATTTAAAATAAATAAAAGAATATGAAACAAAAATTAACCAAACAAGTAGTTAGAAACAAACAAAAAAATAAATAAATAAAACAAAACAAAAATTAACTTAAAAAATATGCATAGATTTTAATAATATAATGTGAGTCAACAATATAGAGAAAACATAATTTGAAATAGGAGAGAACTAGAGAAGTTGAGAAGATTTATAGCTTAGCATGTAAGATTAATTTAAGTGGGAGGAGGGCCAAATATTTTGAAGGGAATACAAAATTTTGATATTCTATATAATATATATATTTTAAAAATTTAATAATATATATAATATTTTTTAAAAATTGGGGGTGTGATGGGGGTAGGCCCCCATGACATAAACTTGCCTCCACTCCTGTTTGCTAGTTAGGGTCATAATGCAAGATTTATCCGATGTACAACCTTAAATTAGAGCTGTTAAAACTAGTCAACCCGATCCATACGGCCTAGTCCGTCACAGGTTGGGGAAAAAATGAGTTGGACTTGACCCGACCCGTTTTGAATATGGCCGGGTTGGGATTGTTGCAATCGTTATACTGTGGAATCGTGTCCACCTTGCAAGGTGGACACGGTTCTATGTTCATATATAATTATTGAACTATATGTTCATAATTACAAAGCTATATATTCATAATTTTAAACTTCAAATTCATAATTAATGAACTCTATATTCACAATTACAGAACCCTATGTTCATAATTACTGAACTATATGTTCATAATTATAAAGTTATGTATTCATAATTTTTGAACTTCATATTCACAATTATTGAATCCCTATATTCATAATTACAGAACTATATATTCATAATTATAGAACTATATGTTCATAATTTTTAAACTATATATATTCATAATTATGAACAGTTTTGGAACTGTAGGTGGACACGGTTCCACAGCATAATTTGCGGGATTGTTGGCCCAAACCGACTAAGCACGGGCTGACGGGCTAAACAGGCCACCCCTTTTATTATTAATTAATTATTTAATTATGTTATTTTAAAATTTCTAATTATTCATATATAATAAGATTCAAACCCTAAACCTATTAATGAAGAACTAGAATCTTTACCAACTAAACACAATGAACTTTTTGAACAAATGTCATGTGTGCTTAATTATATATAATACGGAGTATATGTTTAGATAGTTAAATTTTAATTTACGTTCAAATCATTAGATTTTAATTTATTATATAATTATAATTTACAGTAGCTTTCAAAAAAAATTTATTTAGTTTACATTTAACACAAATATAATTCATATGTAATATTTTTATTTTATATTTATAATATTATTAAGTTATAAAGTTTATAAAATTTTTATCTTTATATAGTTTATGTAATAAATAAACTTTATATTTACTATATAAATATATTGATATTTAAATAAAGTTACAATTAATCATATTAATTAATACTTATAATAAATATAATATAACTAAGTTATATATATATATATATATATATATATATATATATATATATATATATATATATATATATATATATATATATATATAGTTATTTATTTATTTATTTATTTATATATATGACTTAAATAAATGAATAATAATAATAAAAAAATGCTCACAAAGCGTCCTTATATAGTTGGTTTGTATACTGCAAGTATAATTTTGGGTGGGGTGGAAAGTAGATTATACGGGTTAGCCCGTGGGTTACACGGGCCAACTCGT